GGTTCGCCAGAACAGCAAGTTTCTTCAGAAGCGCAACGGCATTCGTCTCAGCAGCGATCCCTTCAACAACAATGCGAACTGGACGAAGCGCCACGCCGGCTTTCTGAACACAAAGGCCGCCGTGGTGAAGACAAAGGGCGACCGCATCGTTGTGACGACGAAGAACGGTGAGACAAACAACAAGCCAAAGTCGATGTACCAGAAGGTCGTAATGGATGCCGGTGTGAAGGCCTCCACCGTGAGCAAGGCCGTCGCCGCGGTGCGCCCCGACCTTGCCGACGTGGCGTTCCGCCGCGCACGCAAGATGGCGTTTACAGTGAACCACATGAACAAGGTGCGTGCCGCCCGCAAGGAGCGCTCGTCGAAGATTGTGTTCCAGCGCAAGTCCGTTCGCCCCAAGCGCCACTGAGCGCCACCCGAGGGCTGAGTCATGGGTGACATCTCGGAACGGGATGCAACACACTCTATTCTTTAGTTTTTATTTCGGTACTTTGTGTCGTTGTTTTTTTTTCCAAAAAAACGAAAGCACGATGGTTTTGTTACTTCTTGTGCGCCTTTTGCTTCTGTTGTTGCCTGCCACTTTTTGGAATGATCTTGACTGCACAGGAAGCACTGCTCCTTCTTTCTCGCTTGTTTTTTTTTTTTCGTTTTGTCGTTGTTGCTTTACTTGTTTTGTGCACAGGGCTACCTCTGCTGTGGCTGAGGTGACACGGGCGGAGGGGCAAAAGTTGTACTGGGACGCATGAATCTCGTCAAATGTGTTTTAGAGGCGCGTGACACGGGGCTGAGTTGATTCGTCGCTCAACGCTGCGGTTCTTTCAATATATTCATGCCCCACGAAGCTCAGCATCCTTATCACATTGGAGGTGACGATTGTTATAGAGGAACCCATCATCCTATCTGCTCGTGTGCATGAAGGTGAGGTCTTTAGTGGACGATGCTTACTAAGGCGATGTGCGGTGGTCCTTTGCGCTGGGGAGGTGCGGGCTACGGCAGGGAATGAGTTTGCGTCAGGCGTGGCGGTACATTTATTTATCGGTCATTATCGCCCGTCCAAATCTTCTAGTTCTCTTCACGACAAAACGATTAAAGAGGGCTCTGGCAGCATGCACTTTGCTGATGGAGGCTTCTTCGTTGGAAACTGGGTAAAGAATCGTAGTTGCGTTATGGGAACGCCCTACTTTCCGTTTGGTTATGCCTACGAGGGTGAATTCAGGGATGACGTGCCTCCAGGGCACATGACGTGAAATACTTTTTATGTGGGGAGACATATGTTGCTGAATTCGTCGTAGGGAGACCTCACTGGCGTGGGGTGACGTGCTACCCTTGCACTGGCTTCATCCACGCCGGCGGGTATTCTCGGGGTGAGATGCATAGCGTTGGGGTGGTCTTCTACGAAAATGAGGACGTCTTGGAGGGATTCTGGGCTGACAGTCGTCGCTCGGGGGACGACGTCTCGGCGTTTTTAGCAGCGAGGGATTGACTTTCTTATGGGGCGCGCGGCGGTGTTGGGCGATATGTGCGGGTTCACTGGCACTCGGACAAATGTGACGGGGGGACGGTGCGTAATGATCCAATGCATGAGGCGACACATTGATGAATACCGGATGATACCCCTTGGGATTCTTGAAAGTCGTCCCTTTAGCGGAAGCGTTGGAACGCCTCACATAGTGCACGAACTTGTATGAGCGATGCCACCGGTGCTATTACTTTGTGTGGAGCGCTGTTTTCATTATCTGAATGAAAAGTTTACGGGAGAGGTGTCGTTGTTTACCCTTGACGCGGCCGTTGAGTTGTTTATGTCAAGGGAGACGACACCGCAATCCATTCTCACGGTCAATTCGTCTTCCTCCGGTTCTACTTCCTCGCGTGATAATTTCTCAAGTATACATGTGGGCTTTGCCACGTTTCTCTAAGGATTGTTGCCGCGCCTACGCGAGACTAACATTCATCGACATGTGCTGCATGAATTTCCTCTGGAGATGCTCTTTTGTTCGCGTGGTGTTACTTGCCGGAAAGGTTTGCATCAGGAAGGATGAATTTTTTTGTGTCTCATGCATGCATTTCAACGAGACGCGCTGCTGCACATTGTTTCACGCGAGTGTGAGGGCGCATGCCAGGCCGCTAGCGGGGGTTTTGAACGTAATAATAATTTTAAAAAAAAAACAACTAATAATGAGAATGCTGCGTTAGCTGCCGCAGTCCAACGCACCCCTGAGATGTTGGATTCGACGAAGGAAGTAGTGGGCGGTGTACGTTTGCTACGTGATCTTTTTCTTAGGCAGGGGATTTTGAATGGGGTCGAGCAGCTCAGCCTTCGAGGGATGCTGGAGGGGATCTACCCTGCCTCATCCCACAGATGCTGCGCCGGTTCAAGTTAACTTTGTTTCCGCCGCACATGTTTCAGGGTTACCTGCGAGCGTTTTCAAGGCTGGACGAATTGAATGACGGCCCACTCTCCATACAAGCGATGACGGCTGTACAGTGAAAACTTCTGGCATCCCGAGCGGACGGCAATCAACGCATTCCAAGGTCAGCAAATACGTTGTAGAAGCTTGTACTTTATGGGCGACGATGTTCTCTTGTACAATGGGAAATCACTGATATCGCATTTTTGGTCATCTTTGCAAAGTACATGGACCGGGCTAAGCGTGGATTGGTGACGCTGACTGGCATATTGCGTCGCACGTATCCAAGCGTACCGTGTCTGGCGACCAAAGATAGTATCTTGCCTGCGGCGTTACCGGCACACCGAGGCCTTCAAATAAAAAGGGGCTAAATGAGTGCCGCCACCACCACTGGGCATCCGAATTCCTTTGCTTTCTAGGTCCCAGCTCCCCGCTGCTGTTGCCACTGCTGAGTCTGTACGATGTGTGGTGCGCATGGCCTCGCGCTGAGCGTCTTTTGCGGAATATGACGTGGTCGCCGATGCCTGTTGCTTTGTTTATTTCTTTGTCGTTTTTTTTTTCTTTCGTCTTGCTGCCTATTTTATTGATTGTGTATTATTCGTTCCAAGGGTGTGTGGTTATTTAATACTATTACTATTTTTCACCGCCGGTGTTGTGCGGAGCTGCGGTAAGAAGAGTTCGTAGCGGAGCCTTGTACTGAGACCACTACAAACTTCGTCTGCCCTCACCCTCCAGTTTCTGTTTTTGTTTGTATTTGTGCATCCGTCCTCTTTTACAGAGGTTTTCCTCCACGAGAGCCCGGCGCTGCGTACAACCGCTTGAGTCTGCAGCAGTCATCTTTTTGACGGTGACAAAAAAAAACACGTACATTTTTACCCTTCTCTCCTTTCTCTGCCTCGGGTGACGGTGAAGGGGCATCTGCCGGGTAGCTGAAGGTGGGAGGAGCAAGGAACAGCAACAAAAGGAGAGTGGGAGCGGCGAGATAAACAGCAGTCTCTCACAAGACTTAATAGGTGCAAGTGTGCCTACAAGCAAAGAAAAGGGGAGAAACAAGGCGTGTGTGTGTGTGAGAGAGAGAGAGAGAGAGCAAATAAGTAAAAGAGCAGAAGGGAAAACGAAAAAAAGGGGGGGATACGGGGGGAGGGGAAGCAAGCAAAGGAAAAGGCGGCACTGAACATTATGCGCCTTAAGGCCACCTCGTTGTCTTGCGCGTTTGCGTGGGCCCCGCGCGGCCTTGGGAACCCAACATATCTCGCGGCGGCCTCGCTTGCAGGGGCGATGGACGACAACTTCAGCAACGAGGCGTTCTTGGAGATTCGTCTTGTGGACGCCACACAAACCGATGAAATCGAAATGCCTGTTGTGGGCCGCGCACTTATTCCGGAGCGGGCCTTTCGTGTTGACTGGTGCCCAGTTGGAGGGCCAGGTGGCATGATTGCAGTGGCGTGTTGCAACGGTGCGGTGTACGTGTACGACGCGAGCGTCATAATGAAGAATTACCAGCTAAACCCGAACTCCGACACGGAGAATCCACTGCTTTGCACCATTTCTGAGCACCGCGGGGCGGTGCGAGGATGTCAGTTTAATCCATCTCAGCCCAACTTCCTTGCGATTGGCGCAGACGACGGCGAATGGGACGTGTGGACGCTGGAAAATCCGAGGGAGCCGCAACGAGTTCCTGTTATGTCGAATGCGGCACACACCGCCGCTATCGTGCATCTTCAGTGGCATCCGAAATACCCGCATATCATTGCCACCGCCTCTTCCAACAGCATTACCAATGTGTGGAACCTAAAGTCCCAGACGTTGGCGGTTTCTTTAAACGTCTCAAAGAAAGGGAAGTCGGGGGCGAGTGCAAACGCTATTGCGTGGCATCCTGCGGTTGCAACGCAGATTGCCGTGGCACTTGACGAGAAGGATCCTGTAATTCAAATATGGGACCTGAAAAAGTCTATGGCGCCCTTGTGTGAGATGCGAGGTCACCAAGGCGCCGTGACAGGTTTGGCGTGGAACTCCGAAGACGCGTCTATGATGGCGTCTTGCTCGGCGGATGGCAAAACTATGTGGTGGAACCCGTCCACGGGGGAACAAAGTGGCGCGCTGCAGCAGGAAAACAACTACGTCATCGATGTACAGTGGTCTCCCGCACTTCCTGCTGTTTTGGCAACCTCCTCGTTTGAACCTTTACTCTGCGTGTCGACGGCCGAAGACGCCTCTGCCACTGCTGCCGTGGGTGCGCCGGTGCCAAGTTGGCTCAAGAGGCCATGCGGTGCGTCGGTCAGCCTGGGTGGTCTTGTTGCCTCCCTTGTGCCTCACTCCACGACACAGGTGGGTCTTACCTTTGTCGTGGAGAAGTGCGTTTTAAGCCCAATGGCCTCACAGGACTTCGCATTTAGCGAGGCATTGGAACAATATCCTCGGGGCTCGGAAGAACGAGTGAAATGGTTGAAGGCGCAAAACTACAACCTACTGGCAGCAGCGGCGGCATGCAAAGATGACCGCACTCCTATTCTTGCTTACCTCAATGAGGAGTCGCTTTCCCATGATGAGGGAGAAGACCCGTTTGAAACCATGCAGGCATCGCAAAAATCACTTGAAGATATTGCAGCTGCGCACATTGCAGCAGGTCGCATTCGCGAGGCGGTGGAGGTGTGCCTTGACAATTGCCGTTTTGATGACGCCTTTGCGATTGCCTACCTTCAGGGTGGAACCTTGTTGCAGCGCGTGCAGCAAGAGTACGCTCATTACACCTTGAATCAGAGCACTGACAAGCGACATGTGGTGTATGCTGCAGCTATAGCCTCAGGGGATTTTGCTTCCCTAACAGCAGCCGAAAATGTGCCTTGGAAGGAGGCTCTTTCTGTGATTATCTCGTTTGTGGGCGATGGATTTGCGGACGCGTGTGACAAGTTGGGGGAGGCGTTGAGAAAGAAGGGCAATAGGGAAGGGGCCATGACATGCTTTGTGTGTAGCGGCAATGTGGATGCTGTGCTGCAGCTTTGGTGCGAGGACAACACATCCGTGCGGAAAATGATGCGTGAGGCTCTTCTTCTTGAGGAGGTCACGGGACGACGTGTGACGTCGCCGTTTTTTTCCGATTGCCTCTACGAATACGGCATGAAGCTGGTGGGAGATGGGATGCTGTCGGAGGGGACGTCCGTTCTGCAGCGCTCGGCGAGTATTGGCAATCGCGGCGCAGCAGTTATGGTGGACCGCCTGAAGTTTAAAGTGCCTGCCGGACAGGTTGTTTTTCCCTTTGCCATCGTGCCGCTGTCGGATTCCCCGAGTCCATCATGTGCTGCCTTCATGGCACAACAACAACAACTGCAGCAGCAGCCGTCGCAACAGCAACAGCAACAATTCCCCATACCTGGCCAGCAGCAACAGCAACAATTCCCTATGCCTGGCCAGCAGCAACAGCAACAATTCCCTATGCCTGGCCAGCAGCAACAGCAACAATTCCCTATGCCTGGCCAGCAGCAACAGCAACAATTCCCTATGCCTGGCCAGCAGCAACAGCAACAATTCCCCATACCTGGCCAGCAGCAACA